CAGAGGCTGATGGCTCCTGGGTGACCACAGTCTGAGGAACGACTCCTACAACCGATAAGAGAGACAGTTATTGTTACGAAGGCACGTGTCCCCCGCAGACCCTGTGCTGACGTGGTCTCCCTAAGGATGCCCTGACCTGAGCTGAAAGCGAAGATTCCAAGAAGAACCATTGTCCAGGCCATGGTTGGGACTCTCACGAGAACCGAATGTCCCCAGACTCCTCAGCTGGACTTTGGTTTCCCCTGGGCCTTTTCATGCCTCTCCAAACCCGTTAAAAAGGGCAGATTTTTCATGCAAATTAGCTTCCTCCCTAGCCCTGCCCCAGTGTTCACACTGATGTCCCGGGGGATTTCTTAAGAAGCTGTGCCGGGCTCCATCCAGGCCAATGTCTGCAGCGGGACTGACTCTGAGGGATAAGGTTTGATGACTTTCATCAGGCCAGCTCCCCCCGCACGAACCCTTAGGGACCTCAGTTAACAGTCTAATCTCTGCAAAGCCTAATACCCAACAATGAGAGGTGAGAACTCGTGTCTCCTACTGTGTTTAAATAGTTGGCAGCAAAACTCAACACCTACCGAGGACTGCATTTAGACACCTGAAACTGGTTACCGTGGAATCCTGTGCTGTCCCTAGGGACACAGACCTCTCCTTGACTCAGCCTGGGAAACTCTCCAGCTGCTGCAGAGAGGGGATCAGCCGGGGACCCAGACAGGGTACAGCACTGCCAGTTTGGGGGATGATGCCTGCCTTTGCCCTAAGAAACCATGGTAGCTTCAGGGGAACCACAGGTGTTGAGAAGAAAGTCAATAGTATTATCATTAAAGTATCATTCCCCCAAACTTTAAAACTAAGGACAGATGAAAAAATATGTCTTAGGATCAGAAGCAGGACTAAAGACAAGTCCTCCCCAGCCTTGGACACCCCCATCCCTCATAGCTGGAACTCCTTGTTCTGGAATAGATAGAATTGGCAACGATGTTTATGATTCATAAGACACTGTGTTCTTACAAGGCTCAATTACAAAACTGTCTGCCTTTGTTCTGTTCTGGTAAAGGCACTTGCTGCATCATTACACAGACCACCCCACTTACACCAAATGTATAAGACCGGGAACTTTGATCCTTTGGACAGGAGTCTATTGAGCCGGGATGTTCACCTAAAACCTGAAATAAAGTCCTCCTGATCCCCACTGGTCTCTCCTGTCTCCTGAAATTCTGCAGCAGTGGAGAAATAGAATTTTTCCACTTACTCTTATGAGATTTTTTTAAATGATGTTTATTCTTCTCTGAATAAAATATAAATATTTTCATTTCTGAATTGCATTTAAAGTATTTAATAAAAATTTTTGTCTATTCTTTCCTTCCTAGCCAGCTATATTTGTTCAAGAACCTCAGTTTACATCAGGCCCAAGGATTTTTGTTGACAGGCGTTATGAATAATAATTATCTATTACAATAGATACACTATATATACTCATATAGAGAGGTATTTGTGTGGGTATGCACTGTTCATGTAATATAGGGAGTGATTTGATGTTTAAAAGAGAAAGAATCCAAAATATTGAGATTTCCAAAACCTTTACAGTATTAGGCTATAGCGCTCACTAAACCTCACTAAAATATAATGACTAATACCAGACCACAAGATATAACCTAAACATATGACAAATAAATGGCCAAGCCATTTATCACACAGCTCATCATAAATAATGGGGTTCATATTGCCAGCAAATACATTGACCTCGGCAGGGAGACCTGAGCCGCCTCTGACATTTCTCACACATGACTTCAGCATCGCTAGTCAGAGCAGTTATTTCCTTCGGGAGATCTGTGTGGCAGTATAGATGAAATGGTGGACTAGGAAGTTGCATTCAGGAGAAAAAGCACAGGAAGCCAAGAATTCATCCCAGTGTATGAAGGAGCCGAGAGCAGCTCCCCTCTGGGTGGAAGGACATGGCTTGCCCTAGGTACGAGCTTTCATCGTGTTGTGAATTTTAGCCTTGAAGGACTCTGCTGATGCACCCCACATACATGTGTGTAAAATCCGTGAGAGCCACTACAGTGGGTCCAGCAACTCCGTGCCTTTCACACAGTATGTGTAAGAACCAGTGGGCTCAGGGGCACTTTTCCTGATTGTGGCATCTGACATGTGGCTCAGCACATGAAATACCCTCTCTCCTTTCAACTGTATCATCGCCACCCCCCACACCTCACCACAGGTCATATTCCCGTGCCAAGGAATTTGTATTTGTATATTAGTAAATTAGATGTCATTTTATATTCAATCCTGGTAGTATCCTTTTGGGTTTTAGTGTCGGAATTATCTTAAAATAAAAAAAAATTGTGACTATGTACCCTTTAAACCTTGAACAAAAAATTTGCATTTTTTTTATAATGCTCTCTATGTCTTGGACTTTGTTCCAGGAACAAGGTGCATTAATCTTGTTCACTTAAGTGTGTACGCACAGAAGCGGAGACACTATGAATACTCTGACATCAGACCCAGCACAGTTTCCCTAGAAGGAGTGAACAAAGATGTTTCTAAAGTGTGGAATAATCAACCATCTGTGTGGAAGAAATACTGTACATGGGCCCCAGGTTTTTTATTGTCTCTTACTGAGAACGCATTTTGCCAATGATTGGAAAATGGGAAAGAGAGAGGAATGCCTTGGGATATGTTAGAGATGACCCAGAGTCGTGATTGTTGAGGCCCCTTTTTATGCATTTGAGATCCCCCTCCCACAAATTCATTCCTGCAGTGCGACTGTCAATCCGTTACTCAGGAAGTGAGGTGTGGGTCACAGCCCTGTGCTCCTGTGGATTTGGGAGGCCCACGTGCAGAAAAGTAACAGTTCATCGAAACACGAGTGCAAGAACCAGTTTTACTTTGTGGCCTCGCCCAGAGCCTTGTGCCCTCAGGATCAACCCAACATCGCCACCTGCTGGCCGAGGGCTGGGTCATCCATTCTGTCTGATAAGTGCCGCGCCGGCCCAGAAGGCCTCCTGACTTCTGCAAATGCATCTTTCCAGTGAAGCCATAAGCAGTAGAATATACATGTCCTCTGTGCACCTCTGTAATCACGTTTCTTCAAGGACAAAACGGCATCCAAAGAAATGCAAGTGTGCTTCATAGCGATTTTATCAGAGTTGCACGTTTATGTAATCTGAGTTCTTTGCTCCCCTCGCCCTCACATCCCTCCCTGCATCCCCCAACTCTGGCCCCACTTCCCAGTCTCGAAAGCTCTATTTCCGCTTTTTCTTCAACTCCCTCTTTTTAAATCTATGTTTCCTTCTTTCCCTGTTCACTCCATCCACCTCTTGTCCCCTGGCCCACTTCAAAAAGATCTCCCAACTTCCTCCTATCTATGTGCCTTTCACTTTGCTCTTTATTTTTAATTTTTTTAATTGTATGACAAAATAAAATCTCACATCAAAGAATAAGAGAATGACAATAGGGTGTCACACTATGGATCATTGTTTTCAAAGTAGTTACTCAGAGTACAAGACACAAATCAAAAAGAGTCTTACATAAAAGGGTTTTTGTAGGAGTGAAGCCGCGTGAAATGTAAACTTGTGTATCTGATTTATCTCTCTCAGCTTTAAATTCTCACCGTGCATCAATTTGCCTACAAATTTCTCAAGTTTATTTTTGTTTGTGGCAGCGTAATACTCCATTGTATGTAAATACCGCATTTATCCATTCATCTATTTTTTTCATGAAGTTCATTAAGGTAAACAGCACAGTTAAATTCGTCATTGGGATCTTGTACTTTTACATGATGGATCTTGGTTCTTATTTCTCCCCATTCCCCTGCCCTCCCTTCACCTCCTCCACCCTTCCCTATTTACAAGGCTGTGTCTCCATGTTTTCCTTTCTTCGTAGTTTTTCTTTTCCCTTATTTCCTTTCCCTTCCCCTTCCCACACTCCCGTCTCTTCAGACTCTTTCCTTCCCGCGTCACATCATCAGTTATACCGTTTCCATTCATCTGTTGGTGGGCATATAGGCTATTTCCGAGATTTAGCTGTTATAAATTGTGCTGCTATGAACGTGGGTGTGTAGTGGGTTCGCCTGTGATGAGATGACTGGTGCTTACTACACAGCCTTGTTCAGCGAGGAAGCAGCCTGAAGGTGGAACTGGAGCTCACTGTGGGGACAAGGACACAGGATTACTTCTCTAGGGAGAAAACTTTGCTGTGCATCCTTGAAGCCACAGAAACCTGCTTTCTCTGAGCCCCAGAGGACAAGAAAGTTCCCCCTGCCAGGCTGGAAGGAGCAGGTGCAGGAGGTGACTGCACCTGGGAACAATGCAGAGGAAGTAGGGTTGAAACTCAGTGGATGTGGTGAGCAGACAGAGCCTCTCAGACAGTAAGCGTCTCAGCGAGGTCTGGATCCTGAGACGTTCACATGTGGATCAGCCACCTCCTTCGTAGTCCATCATCAACTGGAAAAGATAATGAGGCCTGAAAACCGATAGACTGCTCCCCCTCGTAGGCTTGATCCGGGTAAAAGTGTGTTTACAGGGAGTAAATGGTGGTGACCCAGGAGAGACCATGCTTAGCCTGAATTTGTGGTTCCAGGGGAGACTTCCCAGGAATGACTCCGGAGGAGAGTCTGAGTCAAGTCTATTGGGCTGAGCTTTTTTATGAGCAGGCTTAGCTATGGTGGGAGATCAAGGGGATCAACGGGAATGAAGCAAGAAAAGCACCCACAGCAATGGGTAATGTTCTGTTGTGAGTGCGTGTGACCTGGCAGGTGGGGTGTGTGCCCTGTTCTAGCACAGATGTCGTTCCCTGGGCTCAGACAGCCGGGGACAGCCATTTCGGAAACTCAGTCAGCTGGATTGGAGTGGGGGAGGTAGAGGGAGGACCGAGTGATCCTTTACAACAGTTCAAATTAACATTTTAACTAAGGAAACAGAAAGACATTTTCACTTCCCCCTCCGCAGGAAAATTGGATGTTTGCTAAAACAAGGACCACAGAAGCTGCCCTCTGAAGCACACTAGGTCAGACCCACCGGTAGCAGTAATGGCGCGGAGAACAGAGAGGAGGGAGGCATTAGTCTCACTTCCTCGTGGGACTGGAGCACCGTGTAAGTCTTGGCACTGCCGTCCCATGTGCCACAGTAATAGTCAGCCTCATCGTCGGTCTGAACCCCAGAGATGTGTAGAGCAACTGTGTTAACTGAGGCATCTTTGGATCCTGAGAAGCGGCCGGGGGCCGTGGAGACCTCGTACCCATCTGTGTGTGTGTGGTGGTGCAGCAGATACTGGGGAGGACTCCCTGGCTTGTGCTGTGTCCAGGATAGGACGTGGCTGTTCACGCTGAGGCCGCTGCTCAGGGTGCAGGTGAGTCGGGCAGATGCTCCGTGAGGTACAGAGAGGGAAGGAGGCTGAGTCAGCCCAGGGTGAGAGAGGGAACCTGCAAGCACAGACACACGTGAACAGTAGAATAAGGACCAGGCTGAAGATGGTTAGTGGGGCTGAGAGACTCGGCTTCAGGCTACCCTGTGGTTCAAAGGTCTGTCCCTACCTGTGCAGTGAGACAGGAGGAGGAGGAGGAGGAGGAGGAGAGGACTCCGGGTCATGGTGGACACAACCCCTGAGCTCAACAGTGAGGCTGGGCTGCCCAGACCTCCTTTTCTTTCTCCCCTGCTAGAAGAGGGTTTGTTCATGCAAATGTGTTTCGCAGGCTTAGGAGGAAGACGTTTTGCTTTACCTTCTTGGGGGAGCCTTGGGAGGAAGCACCCGCTGAGAGAACACAAAGCCATTTACTCACAAGACTCTGCTGAACCAGAGCAGACACAGCAGCTGAGTCCCATCAGTAACACAGAGCCCAGCCTCCAACAATCCTTTGAGTTAATGGTCTTTATTGAGCAGCTTTGTAGAAGGAAGTAGAAGGCTGGTTCCACAGTGCCTCCTGCTAGTTGCAGGACACACACCTCCCCATGGCCCAGAGACCTAAGAACCTCACTAGTTTTTGCAGTTTTACCAAGTCACTATCTCTTTTTGTACATGGGTGATGTAATTCCTGAGTGCTGTCATTTTGACATGCTTTGATTCCCTCAAATGTATTTTCTGGAAAGTATAAAAGTGTGCATAAATGATAATTTAGGCTGTTAGTTACCCCATAGAAGAGGCTCAAAATACATTATTCCATTGGTGTATAATTTAACATATACATATGTATAATTGGTTTTTATTGTTGCTGCCACTACTATTGCTCTTGTTGTTTTCAGGACTGGGGCTTGAAGCCAGGGCCTTCACACTGAGCTATATCCTCAGGCATTTTAAAATCTTTTTTATTTGAGATGGCATCTTGCTAAGTTGCTGAGTTACCCAGGCTGGGCTGAAACCTGTGATCCTCCTGCCTCAGCCTCCCATAGTGCTGGAATTTATAGGTGTGCACCACCATACCTTGCTTATTTCTACTGTTTTATAATCCTTGTTTATCAAAAACTGTATTTGAACGACTTGCCATGTGATTTTTTTGGTGGGTTTTAGTTTTTCTATTTTTAACACTTTTATTTCATGTACTATCTGATAGAGTAAAGAAAGCACAGTGGATCCTGAGCTTTGAAGTCATGGGCATCCGTTGTATCCTGTTGTACCAAACAAGAGCACCACTTGGCAAGTACATTCCCAAAGACCTTCATCCACGCACAGCGCAGACCCATGTAGTCTCTGGAACCAGAGCTTAGAACCCCATCATTATTGCTTCATGAGTTTTCTTACAAAAAATTTTTGAGGAATTAAAGAAGTGATTCTGAGACTCTCATTGATCTCTCCGACGAGGCTGTATGTGCACCATCTGCTCCACTTGTCTTTGGAAAGTCTTTGTCTTCTGTCCTCGGTTTGAATAATCCATCCTTCCTACTCCTGAGATGGGCTTCAGGACTTGCTGCAGGCAAATCTCTGGGCCTCGTCTCCCTATCTGTGTGTCACTACCTTGTGCCACTGCCTATTTGCTTGCCCTGTCACAGTCGTGTTGTGTATTTTGAACAGTTTCTGATGCTTTGTGGTCAGAAGATACCTGAAACATCATTGACACTGCTTTTTAGAAATCTCCCAGATTGTGAGACTCTTGAGTCAATTCAGCTCTAGTATTTCATGAAATCTCATCAGACATCTTAACGTGATGCTCAGTTTGTCACCAAGATAAAACTGCTATTTACACTAGTCCTGTCATTGGCTTTCTGCCTTCATCAAGTTTGGTTGTTTAAAATTTCTTCAGGGAAAAGCACCTGCTGAGGTCTCCAAAATCCTAAAACTCTTCCCCTGCTGAATAAGAGTTCCTTCCACTTTTCCTTAAATGTAAATTTCTGGTGTCATAAAATATGCAACTGTGTAATCTCAAATTATAATTTATAAATTTAATTTGTAGTATGTCGGTGGCATTTTAATTTTCAGCAAAGAGAATGCTCTATTGTGCAGACTTGGGATTTATGGGATTTAATTTTAGAAGAATTATTCAAATCCTGTGTGAAACTCTGCTCCACCTCTCAGATCTTTTGTCTGTAAAACTAAAATACAGAAACCCTGAAAAATCCATTTAATAAATACAGGCCAAGAAACAAAGCCATGACTTTCCCCACTAGAAGTTACTGTTTTGTCAATGTTATCTGCATTCCTCAACCCAGGAAAATGACAAAGGTGGAACAGAATTGACCCTTTTTCCCTGGAGGTTAATTCCTAAAGGTACACAAATAAGGATCTTTAAATGGTGACACCTCCATGCAGTGCTGAATTTTGCATTCCAGGCCTCACATTGGAGCCTTCAGCAAGGGTATAAAAACCCAACACCGGGGCAGTGTGTTATATCAGGACAAGCTTCAGAGTTAAAGAACAGAGATGTTTAGCCATGATAATAGTGGCCCAAAAGTGATCTCAAAATGGTGCTTAAATAGTTCAGAAGATTAAAGTAAGCACAGCTGATATGTAACCAATGTTCCCAACACATCTAAGGGTTGAGAGCTTCTGTGATACCGAGCACAACCCCATCATCATCAGGTCAGTGAAATTCATAGCTGAATAAGCTGTGCACAGCACAGTAGGGCATCTCCCCTCCTCAGTTCAGCTGCAGCATGATCCCGATGATTCTCCTTGTGTATCATCTGCACACACATACGGCTCCATGGCATGAGGTGCTGGCACCAACACGGCTTTATTGGGACATTTCCAAGAATGAACTTAGCAGATCTCGCAGCATTTCTACATTCTAAACAAGAAGGGGATTGGTTCATGGAATCTAAGTAAAATTGGAGCATATGCTACAGGTGAGGTACCCTTGAGATAATCTACCTTTTATTAAATTAGGTGAGGAGAAGTCACGCAAGAATCTCAGTTCGTCAGGGGATAAGCATGTTGAAGACCAGAGTATGTATTTATGGCCCTGGAGACAACAAGAAAGTTGTGTTCATCAGATGACATGGAAAATGTGACCTCTCAAAACTCATATACTGAGATCTCAACCCACTGGTGACTGCATTACAAAGCAGAGCTCTTGAAACAGCAAAATCCTTCTGGATGAGATTAGTGTCTTTATGAACAGGCCTGATGAGCTTTAGTTTTGTACCATGTGTGAACACGGTAAGAAGGTACAGTCTGTGAGCCAGGTGAGATCCTCAGGCATACACCAAATCTTCTGACGCTCAGATGTTAGACTTCCCAACTTCCAATATTATGATGTGTTTATAAGCCAAAGCACCGAGGACATTCTGATACAGAAAGTTCAGCGTAATGTAATGCTGTGGATAGAAGAGTTGGCAGGGATGACAAGTCCAGGTCAAAGAAACCCAAGGGAGACTTTAAAGGCACGTGCAGACTGTCTTGCTTAAACAAACAGCGTCTGAGCCAATTCTGTAGTAGCAGATGAAAAGTAAAACAGTGAAAGAATTTTTTTTTTTTTTTTTTTTTTTTAGTGAAAGAATTCTTAACAGCACATTTCCCCAGGCCCTTTCAGTCAGTCACTCCTGTGCAGAGAATGAGGAATTGGGCCAGGCCTTGGAAGGGCGTCCTTAATCATCTTCCTGGAACACCAAAGTGGTGAATCAGAACCACTCGGATCTTCCTTCAATGTTCTTTTTTTTTTTTTTTTTTTTTTTTTTTTTTTTTTTTTTTTGCTTGTAAACTGTGCTTTAATTTCTGCAATCAGATATAAAGTGAGAATACAAGTATAAATCTTTTTGTGCATCCAGAAAATTTAAAAAAAAATTTATAGCCCCACAGCTTTTCCTTAAAAAAAAAAAAAAGAAAATTTTGAGTTTATTTAAGCTAGTTTCTCTTCAGTGTAAAAACTTGAGGGTATAAACAAACTCAAGATATTATATACAGTAAGTTACTAATGTATATTTCCAAACTTGCATAGTGCAACATTTTAAAGTAAATCTTCTCATTTCAGTTTTTTTTTCAGCTTTAATTGAGTTTATTGGTACATTTTAGGGATACAGTACAGTTACATTCATTGTTGGGACCTTGTACCTCCACATGACAAGTCTTGATTCTCATTTTTTGCCCTTACCCCTGCCCTCCCTTCACCCCCTCTTCCCCTCCCCATCTACAAATACTTTATTTCCATCTTTTCATTATCTCACATTTTTTTCTCTTCCCTTATTACCCTTCCCCTACTCATCCCACCTTCCCTACACCTTTAGCTCCTTTCTTCCCTTTTCGAAATGTCAGTAATCTTATTAGGATTTTATGTATTATTGCAGATTATTCACACCAGAGAAACTATTTGGTATTTACACATATGTGACTTATTTATTTCACTTAGGAGTATATCTTCATCATTTCAGTTTTTACTGTTAAGCATAACCTACATCTGAATCTTGAATAAAATTTTCACCATGGATAAACCCACAAAGAAGTCTTTACACAAATACAAGTTATAGAAATCTGATTTCAAATATAAAAGCAAACATCATCATAACCTTACATGGCACAACAGCTTGCTTACTTATTTTGCTATAGTCATTTTAAAAAATCATAGAAAAATATTTCGGTGCCCATTCAGCTGCTATGACGAGGGGGGCCATGACCTTGTGCCTTTAAACCATCTTTTATAGAGTGTGAAGCATCACACCAGGCACTCTGCGAATGAAAATTACTAAGATTGAAGAGGCTACCAAATAAACATTCATGTAATAATAAGGTAACAAAATAGCTCCATAGTGTGTTTGGGAGGAAACACAGCACAGGAATAAGTGGAGATTAGTGCTAGTTTAAGAAGACCCGTGGGACACATGCGAAGGGAGCCAGGAGCTAGTGTGTTTTTAAAAATCCCTATCACAAGCCTAATGCTGACCTCTCTCCCAAGACTTTTAAGGCAACAAAGACTGAGGTGTGTCTGGCCCCCGGCTGCACAGATCCCGCGTTCCCCTCAACCTGTTACCTTAGCGGACTGACCTGGCTCGTGCTTTCATGTGGAACGGAGAAGAGCAAAATGATTTTGTACAAACGTGAGTCAGTGCAAATTGGAAACTCCTCTGTCGATGACTTCAAATTCTCCTACAGCCCTCCAGTGGGCATTTCTAAACATCTTTCATTCTAGTCGGAATCTATTCTGGAGAGCAAATGCATATAAAAGGCAGATATTCAATCTGAAAGATTCTAATGTAAGGTGTGTTGTGTTTTTTTTTTTTTCCTTTCTTTTGTGGCATTTGAGAAGAGTTCCACTGAGGATAAAAAAACTGGTCCTTACAAAGTATATTTTCCTACATTAAAACATATATGGATGTACCATTTTAGACAGCAGATCCAAGGAGAAGACCTGGCATAGTTAAGTTTTTTCTGTGGCTTCTGAAGCGCCGAGGTATCCTGCGAGAATCATCATTTCTGGCACTGATGTTCAGCTGCTCACCCATGAAAGCCGTCTTCACAATTGTCCGACCCCAGCAGTCTGTTAAGGACCAGAGCTGGAGAGGGAAGCAGACAGCTAGGGAGCAGCTGAGGAACCACAGCAGAAAAGCACACTCTCGGGGTCTCCAAAGCCTTGGAGCAAGAAGGCGGCTAAGCAAGGTGTTCAAACACCGGGAAACTCCAGACTCAAAGGAAGCTCCTGTGGGCAAACCAAGAGGTTCCTCCAGTTTCACCAGCAGGTTCAGCAGTGAGACCCTGGGACTGTGTGCTCCAAGGCGGGCAGCGCAGAGGGACAGTGTGGAGGAAAGGCCTGAGCTGTCAGCACAGCACAGGGAGGAGCAGGTGACGCTGGCCTACACTGCCACAGCACAGCCCAGGAAGGAGGGAGGAGGGCTGAGGGTTAGGCTGTGTGGCAACAGTGGAACTTTCCAGCTTTTCTACAGAAAGAAAAATGTTGTAAGTAAATGCCACCCATCTTAATACCTCTGACTCCGTCTTTCATTTCACGCAAACACCACATAAAGCCGCACTTGCTCCTAACAGAGATGGGCCATCGACACCATTCCCAATGGTGAGATGAGCGATCTTGGCACAGAAAGGATCAGAAGAAAGCAGTAAGCATGAGACTATCAAACTGAAGCTCTTTCTGGAAGTAAACTGGCCACTGCAGGTTCTCCACAATACCTAGGCATCGGAAAGCAGCCACGCTCCTCTGATGGGTCATGCAGGAATTCCTTCCAATTAATAATGCTAGCTTTAATTGCATAGTCTTTCAGAACCATGAAAAAATTGAGAACCAGCTCTTTTCTTCAAGGCCTGGGTTTTCTCCAACAGAGCTCTGGACCATGACCCTGCCAGCATTAGCAAGACACTCATCCAGGGACCAACTGTCCCAACCTCCCACACGCCTCTCCACAGTCACTGACACTCAAGTCACAGGACCCCAGATCCACAAACTCATCCTCTCGTTTGGCCAGGTCTTCCTCATCTCCCAAATCTCTCCAGCCACTGGTGGGCAAGGCAGGCCTGGACGAGTGTCACTGGAGCAAAGCGAAAGGGACCAGAGAGGACAGGCGGACAGAGTTCCTGAGCAGGAAGGGTACCTCTGCCTGGATGTCACACATTGATTTTCTCTTGTAAGCTCTGGACTTCCTCCATCATTTCAAAGAGTTTGCTCACTGGGGCCATCCTGCCACCACGTATGATTTGGCCTTTTGGAATCCAACGCAAGTAGTGATGTGCCCAAATTTCGATTTGCCTCTATATGAGGCAACAAGCAGCCATGGTAGTCAGTAGTTTTGCTGTGCCAGCTCTCATAGAACTTCCAAAAGTTCTCCAGCAGCTCATCCGAAGAGTCAATAGCTGCTAATTCTCTTGCCCAGAAGATTTTTAATCAAATGATCTGTCTCTTCCCTGAAAAATCCTCTTTTGGGAGATGACTTTGACTGGGTGAGTGGCCAAGAAAGTTATCACTGATGCCTGAAACACATTCTTTTCCATTGGCCCTTGTCTACTTTTGGCTTTTCCTCATAGAGAGGGTTTTTGAGCAATGTCTGGGCTTTGGGTTCAAACTGCACAGACCAATCCTACATGGTGAGCAGATTCAAAGGCTTGCTTTGTGTAGCCAAGCTTTCCCTACCCATGTTATTATCTCTTTGATGAGGTGAATTGAAGAAGAAGGTACCAAAAATAGGTATATACAGGCTATCTGATAAAACAGTCAGGTAAGTCTCGGTGAACTCAAATGCTGCGGGACACTGGTGCACCAGCCGCCAGACACAATATAAGAAAAGCAGGAACACAGGAACCTCTTCTTTGTCACTCTGGCAGAGGTGGTTACAGCGATCCAAGAAACAGTGGCCACGCATGACCCACTCCTTTTGGACGAGGCTGTGGAAACCAGTCTGGGTGTGACAATGGGGATCCATCGTCACTTGCGGCAGGGAGGAAAGGAGGCAGCGGAGGTCAGAGGCGTTCCCCTTTAAAAGAAGAATGTTCACATTTTCAACTTCCGGGCACTCTGTAACCTCTATTGCTTTTTCCAGACAACGTCTGATTATGTCAAGCCAGCTGCTACTTTCCAAGAAGGAAACCATTTTATATCTGTGTCCCAAATTCAGGACTGTTACCCATCAGAAACGGCTGTTCAAATTTAGAGTATGCAGTCTGGATTTCCTGCAGGGACAGGAAGTTGCTTGATTAGGTCTTCAGTTTTGTCAGTTTCATAAGGTGGCCTGTGCGTGGTCTTGGAAATCCCATCCAAGAAGTTCTTCTACACCTGCAAAATGCCATCGTCTCGTTCTTTGGGCAGTGCTGACATTTTCAAAAACGCATTTCCACTGGAGCGGGACCAACACCACATTGGCGAGGCACAGCCCTGAAAGCCCAGCACATCCTCCTGAGGGGTGGGGACAACAAAGAATGCTGGCAACCTCTCAGATCCCATAGCCTTCATTGACACTCACTGCTTTGTACTTCACATGGGCCTCTGACTTCCTAATTTACATTCTCCAGAAACATATCTGGCAATGTATGTTATCAACATCTGGCCCGTTGATTGTTTCCAGAGCAACTGTTTTATCTCTAATGGCAACCGGGTTCCTTCTACAACTTGCTTTTTAAGGCAGTGTGTTTCCACGGCGCTGCAGAATTTTAAGGCGCTACGTTGTGACTTTCCCATGAATTCTTGCCAAGTACTCCGCGTGTTTTCTCTGGACAGTCATTTCCACTAGATAGAAAGGTCTGAAAGGTAGCTGACTTCACTGACAGGAATGCTTGCATCACAGGGTGACCTGTGGCTCCTCCAGATTCCCTCGCACAAGGTATTTTTTTAGTCACCTGAAGAAGAGTCAGAGTGTCGTGAGGGCTGGATGAGGATGAACGTTGCGTCAAATATTTATGAGAAAATATTGGCACCCAGGAGAAAATGTAATTGAATACGCAAATTGCCTGGGAAGTTGGAATTCCACAGGCAGAGTCAGGAGGATTCCTCTGACCTGAGTCGGTAAAATGACAGGGAACCGATCACAGGGCGGATCAGCCAAGAGGTTTTGGTCTCACTTCCCCCTCTCTCTGTGTCACTGTGGGTTACACAAAGCTACTTCCACTGCCGTGGTCTACCCCACAGTAGTAGACATTCTCATCCTCTTGTTGGGTGTCCTGGATGGTCAAGTATCGATCCAAGCCAGAGCCTGATCCTGAGAATCGATCAGGGATTCCATCCCCCTTGGATCCCACAATACCACTGCTACCCACTCGCATCACAAACCGAGGGCTTTTCCCCTGGCTCTGCTGGTACCAGTCCACACTGTAACTACTGTAGCCACTGCTCAGGGTACAGGTGAGTTTGACCGTCTGTCCCAGGGAGGCAGATGCAGAGGGCAGCTGAGTCAGCGTAGGCTGGGAGAGGGACCCTAGAAACAGATCTCCGTTAAGAATCCAGTTGGAAGAAGGGAGAATTTTTGGACAGGAGGGGACCCATCTGGGACCCGAATTTGGGCAGTAGAGGTCCCTGTGCAGGCAGAGACCATCACCTGTATCTGACCTGTGAAGAGAGTGACGATGGTGAGGAGGAAAGGAGTCCGGGCCATGGTGGAGGAGACGCCCCAGTGCTGAGTCCTTCAGGACCCCGCTGAGCCAGGGCTCCAAGGCCACTTATCTCCTGAGCTTGGTACTGGGCAGGGCTTCCTGCCTCCTTGCATGCAAATCTACTGCTACCAAGACGAATATTAACAAGGTAGAGTGGCAGAGACCATTAGGAGTAAAACACGAAACTGAGTTCTGCCTTGTTCCACACATATTTTTCTCTCTTCCTGGTGCTTAGACATCAGCTGCCACCCTCAGGACTCAGAGAAGCTTCCCTGAGTTACAGTGTTTCTGAGGAGCCAAAGTATGTGTCCTTCAACCTCCTCAGGATCCACTTTCCATGTTTTGGCTGTTCTCCACAATTATTCTGTCTGTCTGGTGTCCCATAGTGAGGTACAACTACTGTATCAGCTAGTCCTAGGAACGACCCATGCCACCTCTACGGACTTCATGTTAGGGTGCCAGAATCTCTCAACTATTACTCAGTAATAGCAACGATGTATTCATCTCAGATCAGTGCCCATCCTTGAGAATAAAAGCAGAAAATCTAGCCTCTGTCCCATGGATATTTGGCTCTACACTGGAGATGTCTTGCCCACAATTATTAACTGATGCTATTTCCCAGGGGACCTCTGGCTGATTCACCCATGGGAGGAGAACAGGTCTATCACAGTTGTGTTTTAATTCACAAATGTAGTGGGAAAAAGTGGACCCAAGAAGCAACTATGTGAAGATGAAAACATTTAAGAAGTGGCTTTACTTCTTCTTTGTAGCTGTATGATTCAAATTTTAGCTTGCAATCCTCCTGCCTCAGCCTCCCAAGTGCTGGGATTATAGGCATGCGCCACCATGCCCAGCTAAGGTCCTTTATTTTAAAAAGTCATTATGGGGCCAGGGCTTTAGCTCAGTGGTTCTGGTGCCTGCCTTGCAAGCGCAAGGACCTGAATTCGATCCCTGCCCCCCCAAAATCATTGTGATGAAAGCATTTGCATTACACGCAAAATAAACAGTGAACACATCTTGCAGTTGTCATCTTTTGTATATTTTCTTTTGATCCCGATATATTATTTTTCCTCTGACTTCCACAATTTTGTCTTACCATATCTACACAGAATATTCATTAGTAAACATGGCCCAGTGAAGAACTACGTAGGATAAAGGTGGATAGTTTCATATTGAAGGGTAGAATTCATCTTCCTCCCAGCGCTAAGCTTTGGGTCTGGTGGGGATATACATACTTTATCTCAACCGAGACTATTAAAATATCCCAGATATTTTATCTCTTATTATTTTATTTATCCCAAATATCCCCCACCATCATCCCATCTGACTGCATCCCAGGCCCCAAGTGGGCTGATCATTTTGCAGAGCTACCTCGGTGTATTAACTTGGATGAGCCGAGTTAGAGAGGAGGCGGACACTCATCCGAGGATCAGAGCAGAAACTGCACAGGGATGCATGTAAGAGGTGTCACACTGGTTTCTACAGCATTGGGCTGCTTTCATTAACCACCCTGTGAAATGTAGAATATTATGATCATGCTTAGAAGGGAGCATTCTCAGGATTCAGGTGACTGTGTGGCTAGCATATGAAAGACGTTGAAAATGAGGAGTAGAATCAGTATATGATATAAAGAAGAAAGGTACAAGCTTCCTACCGTGATCTAAATCTTCAAAGCAAGTGCGTGTTCCTGTCTCACAGGGTCTGTGAAGTCATTTCTCTGCAACCTTCCAGATCTTGACAGCATATCTACACTGCCCCCTGGTGGACGGGGGGTGTTCAATCATCCTGGGAGTGGAAACCTAGAAGGGCTGAGCCCAGTCCTGCTTTCTCCAACCAACGTTGGCTGTGATTGTGAGCTGGCAGTGGCCCTAGCATAGGCTTCATCTGGAGGGGATGCTTAGGAAAAGGAGCCACTGTAGGTGAAGATATTGTGTGAAAGTATCTGAAATATAGAGAATGAAGAAACCCTGCGGTTTTGTGACAGAAAGAAACATCACTATCATTGCAGATACCTCCATTTCTATTCAAGAAAACACCCATTTAAGCTTGTTTAACACTAAATAGAAAACATTACAGTAATGGGCCTGAATAACAGTTTGCTAAGCCTGTCAAACAAAATACCACGGAGTTGATGACTGCGACAGCAGCAATGAATTTTCTCACAGATCTGGATACTAGAAGTCCGTGATGAGGGCGAGAGAATTTCAGAACACAAAAGTTTAGCAATCTAAAATTACAATGTTTTATTGTTATGATGTGTTACCCTGTACACGTGGAAAAAAAATAAAATAAATTAACATTTCTAGACCAATATGGTTGTCCATTTCTGTACAATGCCAAGTTAACACAGTGAATTGGGATGACTTTTTCCAAAGTTGGCAGCACCGTTAAAGTTTCCCAAAATTCAATTTATATATGTGTGTGTGTGTGTGTGTGTGTGTGTGATACATATATATATATATATATATATAGAGAGAGAGAGAGAGAGAGAGAGAGAGAGACTAATAATAGTATGTTATGCATAACACATCATACTAAATATGTAAGGTCATATCTACGAGAGTTTGATTACAGAAACTAATAAAGTATTCTCTAAACAATGAAAAAAGAATAAGATAAGACTATAAGAGCGAGAAGCAATTTAAATATGTTCAGGGACCATTTTCATCTCCAGAATTAAGGATTATTTTGATGTTACATCATTGCCTTTTCTCTTTTACTTTCCTTTTTAGTTTTATTTTAGGATTCCCTATTTTTAATGTTCATACAGAGATTTCTTTAACTGAAAT